ATATTCACTGTCCATGGCTGATTTCCATTCAGGAACTGCCAAGGCTACTTTGACAATCTTAGGTTCTCGAAGAATGACTTTGATAGATAAGAAAGCTTGAGCTAAAGGTTTAAATTGTGAGGATTTCAACCTAGTAATCATGGAATGTACATTTACAGTAGGTGCAGAAGTATGTGGAGCTACCAGAGGTAGAACAACTTCCAAATTAATACCCGAGGAGGCTGAGTGTCTTGATGAGCTAAGATATGTGTCAGAAGAAGCTCTAAAATATATTGATAAGTCTTGTTTACTTCTATTGGATGCACAAATTTATAGGCAGTAGCTTTTGATTGTTGTCGTGTATATGGCAAATCAAAAGCTGCTGCTATAGGAAAGAGGTTGGTCTCAACTGGAACAGCAGAGTAAGCTACTGCTATAAGAGGCTTATTCACCTTTGATTGCACTAGATGCATAAAAGTAGATGCAATGGCTATTGACCGCTGCAGTGTAGATGACAGATCAAAAACTGTTGTTGTAGGAGAAAGATTGGTCTCTGTTAGAGCAGTAGAGGAAACTACTACTGTAAATAGCCCATTCATCTTTGACTGTGTAGAAGGAGAAATTGCAGCTACTGGTGATTTGGATGAACATGTGTGAGTAGAGGATGTTACTCTAATAGGAAAATCAGTCACATGAGGATCATAACTAGTAGAAGCATTGGTTGTATTAAAGGAACTCATGATTTGAGAAATATCATTATCCCCGCAGGAAGGTATAGTCCAAGATGAGATTCCTAAAGAAGAATAAGTATCAAAACTCAAAGGTAAAGTGGAATTATTTGAGTTGAAGAAACCAGTGCGAAATGGGAATTCTTGTTTATTAAATTTGACTTGCTTGACTATATACATATAGCCCGCACTTGTCATGCATTTCTATCCCTTATGGACCAAACTATATCCCACAAAAACGCATTTTTCTATATGAAATGAGCTTATGTTTATGGCAAGGCCATGGGAAAGGAAAACAACTACAGCCAAAAATTCACAGCTCTTGATATTAAGGTTTTTGCTTGAACAAAAATTGATAAAGAGACATAAATTCTAGAACCGAAGAGGGCAGCTTGTTTAAGAGATAAACACCAGTTGAAAAAGCCAACCACCAAAACTTAAGTAGCATAGAGGCATGAGCTAACAAGGAGAGACCAAGTTTAGTTATGGATATGTGCTTCCTCTCTATTTTCCCATTCTACTTATGAAGATGAGGGCAGAGATGTCTAAACATAATCCTATGTTGTTGAAGATATTTAGCAAAAGGCCTAAACTCACCACCCCAGTCAGTTTGCATACATTTAATTTTGGAATTCAACTGATTTTCTATGAAGATATGAAACTGAGTAAACACTTCAAAAGCTTCAAATTTGAGTTTAAGTGGATAGATCCACACATATTGACTGTAATCATCCACGAAGACTATGTAATACCCATATCCTTCACTGGAAACCATAAGGGCAGGTCCCCACAAGTCAGAATGAACTAATTCTAATGGAGCACGTGTTCGAGAGGTGGAGGATGGAAAACTACATTGAGTTAATTTTCCAAATACACAAGCTTCACAGAAAAATCCTTTATTGATATCCAAAGAAGGCTTTACATTCATCTTATTTAATACAACTTGTAGAAACTTGGCATTTTGATGCCCTAGTCTAGCATGCTAAAGAAAAGAAATAACATCAGACTTATTACAAGCTAAATTCTTATTGGAAATTTGAGAAGTAAAACACCTAACACCATCCGAGAAAGCACCAACAACTGTTTGTGATGAAGAAGCAAAATCTGAAGTTGCAGCAGTATTGAGATTTTCTTTAGAAACCAAGTGAACATTGTTGATTGGAAAATCCAGTTGGTACAATCCATTCTTGACTGTCCCTTGAAGTAGGACAGCTTTATTGCTTTTGTCCTGTACCAAACAATGGTCAGCATAGAACTCCACTATCACATTGTTATCTCTTGTGATTTGTGAAATACTTAAGAGATTTTTTGCAATTTTAAGGACACATAATATGTTCCTAAGCTGAACAAGTCTACTGGAATCAAAAGAGGGTAAGAGCATCATACCTATGTGTGTAATTGGTAGTGCCTCACAATTACCGACTTGCACTTGAGAGCCTCCAGGATATTGTGATCGTGCCAACATGTTGGAAGAGTCTGCCATTATATGATTGGAAGCTTCTGAGTCCATGTACCAGGACTGATCTTTGATAGCTTGAGAAGTTGCAATATCAGAATTGGAAACACCCAAGGACAGGATAGTATCTAAAGCAGCAGGCAAGTTGGCAAAATTTTGTTGTGCATTATTAGTCTGTATTGAGTGTACATCTTGGAAAGGAACACCAAAGTTATGTTGTTGATAATGAGGATGTCCTTGTGAGCCATAAATTGAACTGAACTAGAAGCAAACTAATTGAAACCAAGAGGTCCAATAAGCTGATTGCAGACAATACTCTATGATCCATAAAAAGGACTAGACAAATCTAGTGCACAGGAGATCCTCTAAGAGTAGAAAAATCATGAAAGCCACTCATATTAGTGTTAAATGCTCGAAGTGGTATATTTGTTCCAGCAAACAATGCTTGTGCTTGAGCAGGATCAGTAGAGGTTGTTGGAAATGAGGATGAGCCAAAACCAATTGGAATAGTTGGAATAATTGGATATGATAGAGGCTGTACTTAAGTTATTTGAGGGTGCTACTACAAAACCTTGATAGTCCTGATCAAATCTATGGTAACAGTGCATGGTTGAGTGGCCTAGTTTCCCACAAATTTGGCACATCAGCCTTGGTTGACCATATCCTCTACCTCATCCTCGACCTTGGGGATGACAGTTATACGAGCCTCTATTAATATTTGGCCTGAAGTTGCCAATTTGTCTAAGCATTGAGTGTTAATATGGAAATCGTAGATAACCAACATTACCAAAGTTAACATTATGAGCTTGCTGTGATTATTGAGATACCAGTCCAGGATCTTGACAGATATTCATAACTGGACTTAATGTGTTTGAAGGCTGATTAACCATTACTCCAGAAGTATTCACAACCTGCTATGTCTTAGATGCTAATAATGTAGAAGACATTTCATGAAAATTCAATAAAGCATTGTGTTGTTTTTCCAACCGCATCTCATGCTTATAAAGTAAGAACTGAGCCTCTTGAAACGTGACATTACTACTATTTGGCACAAGATTGGCGACAACTGCTTCATATTCAACACCTAAGCCATCTAAGATCTAAAACAACAACTCTCCATCGTTGATATGAACACCACTTGCATTAAGTTCATCCCCCAATTCTTTCATATGCAACACATATTCATTCACACTTTGAGAATCCTTTTTCATTGCTTGTAACATGTTACGCAAGTGTAGTGTTCTAGCCTTAGAGAAAGATTGAAAATGGAGTTCAAGCGTATTCAAAATTTCATACGAGTTACTACATTTCGAAACAAGTCTAAACATGGACTTTGAAACCGACGAATTCAACCAACTGACAATGAATTGATCAGTTTTCTTCCAGCGAAAGTACTTAGGGTTTGATTTTTTTACATAATTGTTCAGTTCCTTCAACCTTTTCTGTTACAAAGATGGGAGGACGAGTGTTTGTACCTATAACAAAGCCATCCAGGTCGTGAGAAACTAAGGCAGGAAGTACCTACGATCGCTAATAATTGTAGTTCTTCTCACCCAATTTGACAGTAAGGTTTGGCAAAGACGAGTGAACTATTAAGCTCTGTGTACTGTTGGTGCCACATTACTCTATATTGGGTTTTGAGATAAAGATTGAAGATTCAGGATTTGAGCTAGTCATTGACGCTTGTCTTTGGCTCTGATACCATGAACGATTTCTAGCTACGAAAAAGAAATTAAGCTAAGCTATAGAGAAGAAGAATCAGTGAAGAAAGTGTGTGGAGGAATCAGGATTTTCATTAACTAACAAAATCAGTTAGTACAACACATTTATACAGTTTTGAATAAACCAAAACACTGTCGTGTTAATACTCCAGCTTAGTGCTTTTACAAAACTAACCTTATACTAGTGCATTCTTTATCTCAATATCTTCCCTCAACTACTGCAGTTTTGTCACATTAGCTGCTGCATTGTACCTTACCTACTGCATTTTAACTACAGTTGCTGCATTGTAGCAATCGTGCCTTGTTACGTTATTTCCACCATTCTAGCAACATTCCAACAACTATATTACAATGCAAGTCAGGTGATTTCAGCATCTATATTCATTCAGTTAATTCACTTGATCTGTCCTTTTATTAAATGATTTTAACTGTGGTAATTAAGCTCTAGTATAAATTTAATCAAGTTTCTCCCATGTAATTTACAACATCCTAGCTCTTGTTTAAACCCTAGTTTAGAAAAACTGATACTTGGCTCTTTTCTCTTGACCATGTTTATCCAGACATGTAGTAAATGATATAATTGAACAAAATAGAGATATACGAAAAAAAAAAAAAATAAACACACAAACACAAACACAAACAGTAAAGAGAAAGAAGAAAACGTGCGATGTACCCTAGTTCACCCAATTAACAGGCTACGTCCAGCAGAGTCAATATTATTTCAATACTGTCTCATCTCTCTCATTTACAATGAATGAATTTCTCCTATTGTTTGCTATCACTCATTACAAGAGTAAAGTGTGTTTATATACTAGGTTTAAAAGACTTAACCTAGCATTACAAGGATTCTTATTCCTAAGCCGAACCTAATAAATAATTAATAACTTAAAGAAATCCTTTAGTAGTTATACATGAAAAAGCCCTAAAACCACCTACAGGCTCAGGCGCGCTGCCCCCGCTACCCTCGTCGACTCACCGAATGCGTCTACGTGGCCTATTAATGTTGAAGTGGTTGACAACTCCAAACAATAATACTATAGTATATAAAGAGATACATGTGTAAAAAGGGGAAAAAAATGCTTTTGTTAATTATTGCGTTGATCATGTTTCTTGTTCAACTTTTTTTTTTTTTTTTTTTGTAAACAATCGTTTCCATTACATTATACAATTGTGCACGAGGAAGTGAAATAGAAGAAGATAATTGAACCTTCATAAAGAATTGGTAATTAATGTAATATATAAAGAGAAAAACTTCTTAGTGTAAAATCAAATGCTCCAAAAACCCAACAGTTCCTCAGCAAGTTTTCTTCTTCAAAACTTCTTAACACTTCTGCTTTTCGGCAATTCTGATGTGTATTCCATTTGGAAATATGAGACTAGGCCTTCTAATGAAGTCCCCTCCTTTGGTCACTGACCACCTGAAGCATTAACCCATGTGATTTTTTTTAGTAATTTTATCTTGTTCTTAGATTAAAAATCACATTTTAGAGGTTATATATATATATATATATATCGTCATAATTACACATAAATGAGTGATAATTAAATTGACCAAAATTGTGTTTTTAGTTTACCTGTATTTGGTGACAAAATGATGGATGAAAATTGCAATTTGAAGCTTAGCAAAGTCAGCTCCAACGCAAAGTCTCGTACCACTACCCCAAGCCATGAACGTCTTGGATCCAGAGTGCAAATCTTGCTCCTATTTAATCCGGCAAAATCCATAAGAATTGGAAATGGTACATTACTTTAATTGAAGAATAATTTGCGGAATTTTTCTAAAATAGTATCTATCAAGTTTGTCCTGAGAAAGCATTTTTAACATTTTTTTAGAAAATGTTTTTTAGTGATTTAAAAGTTTTAAAATCAAATATTGCACTATTTTATTACCTTCCAACGCCATGGATTGAATTCAAGAGGATTCTCATATTTCTCAGGATTCAAGTGAACAACGGCTGGCGCCACCAGAACTATCCAACCCTTTGGAATTGTATATCCTGCAACATTTATAGTTTCTTTAACGTTATGTATTTTATTAATTAATTTTTCTGCTTTAGTTACTGCTCAAGTGATTTACAACTTACCCTTCATCTCTGCTTCTTGTTTTTCCAACCGCATCTCATGCTTATAAAGTAAGAACTGAGCCTCTTGAAACGTGACATTACTACTATTTGGCACAAGATTGGCGACAACTGCATCATATTCAGCACCTAAGCCATCTAAGATCTAAAACAACAACTCTCCATCGCTGATATGAACACCACTTGCATAAAGTTCATCCCCCAATTCTTTCATATGCAACACATATTCATTCACACTTTGAGAATCCTTTTTCATTGTTTGTAACATGTTACGCAAGTGTAGTGTTCTAGCCTTAGAGAAAGATTGAAAATGGAGTTCAAGCGTATTCAAAATTTCATACGAGTTACTACATTTCGAAACAAGTCTAAACATGGACTTTGAAATCGACGAATTCAACCAACTAACAATGAATTGATCAATTTTCTTCCAGCAAAAGTACTTAGGGATTGATTTTTTACATAATTGTTCAATTCCTTCAACCTTTTCTGTTACAAAGATGGGAGGACGAGTGTTTGTACCTATAACAAAGCCATCCAGGTCGTGAGAAACTAGGGCAGGAAGTACCTACGATCGCTAATAATTGTAGTTCTTCTCACCCAATTTGACAGTAAGGTTTGGCAAAGATGAGTGAACCGTTAAGCTCTGTGTACTGTTGGTGCCACATTACTCTATATTGGGTTTTAAGATAAAGATTGAAGATTAAGGATTTGAGCTAGCCATTGACGCTTGTCTTTGGCTCTGATACCATGAACGATTTCTAGCTATGAAAAAGAAACTAAGTTGAGCTAAAGAGAAGAAGAATTAGTGAAGAAAGTGTGTGGAGGAATTTGGATTTTCATTAACTAACAAAATTAGTTAGTACAACACATTTATACAGTTTTGAATAAACCAAAACCTTGTCGTTTTAATACTCCAGCTTAGTGCTTTTACAAAACTAACCCTATACTAGTGCATTCTTTATCTCAATATCTTCCCTCAACTGTTGTAGTTTTGTCACATCAGCTGCTGCATTGTACCTTACCTTCTGCATTTTAACTACAGCTACTGCATTGTAGCAATCATGCTTGTTACGTTATTTCCACCATTCTAGCAACATTCCAGCAACTATATTACAATACAAGTCAGGTGATTTCAGGATCTATATTCATTCAGTTAATTCACTTGATTTGTCCTTTTATTAAATGATTTTAACTATGATAATTAAGCTCTAGTATAAATTTAATCAATGTTTCTCCCATGTAATTTACAGCATCCTAGCTCTTGTTTAAACCCTAGTTTAGAAAAAGTGATACTTGCCTCTTTTCTCTTGACCATGTTTATCCAGACATGTAGTAAATGATATAATTGAACGAAATAGAGATATACGAAAAAAAAAAAAAATAAACACACAAACACAAACACAAACAGTAAAGAGAAAGAAGAAAACGCGCGATGTACCCTGGTTCACCCAATTAACAGGCTACGTCCAGCAGAGTCAATATTATTTCAATACTGCCTCATCTCTCTCATTTACAATGAATGAATTTGTCCTATTGTTTGCTATCACTCATTACAAGAGTAAAGTGTGTTTATATACTAGGTTTAAAAGACTTAACCTAGCATTACAAGGATTCTTATTCCTAAGCCGAACCTAATAAATAATTAATAACTTAAAGAAATCCTTTAGTAGTTATACATGAAAAAGCCCTAAAACCACCTACAGGCTCAGGCGCGCTGCCCCCGCTACCCTCGTCGACTCACCGAATGCGTCTACGTGGCCTATTAATGTTGAAGTGGTTGACAACTCCAAACAATAATACTATAGTATATAAAGAGATACATGTGTAAAAAGGGGAAAAAAATGCTTTTGTTAATTATTGCGTTGATCATGTTTCTTGTTCAACTTTTTTTTTTTTTTTTTTTGTAAACAATCGTTTCCATTACATTATACAATTGTGCACGAGGAAGTGAAATAGAAGAAGATAATTGAACCTTCATAAAGAATTGGTAATTAATGTAATATATAAAGAGAAAAACTTCTTAGTGTAAAATCAAATGCTCCAAAAACCCAACAGTTCCTCAGCAAGTTTTCTTCTTCAAAACTTCTTAACACTTCTGCTTTTCGGCAATTCTGATGTGTATTCCATTTGGAAATATGAGACTAGGCCTTCTAATGAAGTCCCCTCCTTTGGTCACTGACCACCTGAAGCATTAACCCATGTGATTTTTTTTAGTAATTTTATCTTGTTCTTAGATTAAAAATCACATTTTAGAGGTTATATATATATATATATATATCGTCATAATTACACATAAATGAGTGATAATTAAATTGACCAAAATTGTGTTTTTAGTTTACCTGTATTTGGTGACAAAATGATGGATGAAAATTGCAATTTGAAGCTTAGCAAAGTCAGCTCCAACGCAAAGTCTCGTACCACTACCCCAAGCCATGAACGTCTTGGATCCAGAGTGCAAATCTTGCTCCTATTTAATCCGGCAAAATCCATAAGAATTGGAAATGGTACATTACTTTAATTGAAGAATAATTTGCGGAATTTTTCTAAAATAGTATCTATCAAGTTTGTCCTGAGAAAGCATTTTTAACATTTTTTTAGAAAATGTTTTTTAGTGATTTAAAAGTTTTAAAATCAAATATTGCACTATTTTATTACCTTCCAACGCCATGGATTGAATTCAAGAGGATTCTCATATTTCTCAGGATTCAAGTGAACAACGGCTGGCGCCACCAGAACTATCCAACCCTTTGGAATTGTATATCCTGCAACATTTATAGTTTCTTTAACGTTATCTATTTTATTAATTAATTTTTCTGCTTTAATTACTGGTCAAGTGATTTACAACTTACCCTTCATCTCTGCATCTTTCCCTACTTTCCTGAAAATCAAAGGGGCTATATTTGCCAATCTAACTGTTTCATTAATGACCTGCAGCACGGGAAAAAAAAAAAAGTTTAGAAATCAATTGCAAAATCCAGAAATTTACAATTTAGACCCACCATGTGCGTAAAGTTCATTGATTTATATTCTTGCCATGTAAGTCCAGACTCCTGATTTTTACGGCTTTTAAGAATGGCCTCGTGCTCTTTCTGCAAAAACGAAATAAAAATCTTTTACTCTTTGTCTTTCGTTTTCGTTTTTGACTTTCTTATTTAACGAGAAGGGAAATTCGGGGGAAAAAAAATTAATGGCCTATAGTTTTTTACTAACCGTGAGTTCTTCCAGCACCGCAGGATGATCAAAAATAAACTTGGTAAGTAATGTGATGGCTTCAGAAGTACTTTCGAAAGCACCAAAAAGAAGAAGAAAGAGCATGTTTATTGCAACACCATCATCCATAAACGCATTTTCTTTCTCTTCTTCTTCAATTAAACGGTCTAAGAAATCATTGTGAGGAATTTTGGATGCTTTCCTTTCGTGGTAGATATCTGTAATTACCTTGATGGCGTTTTTACTTCCCTGGTAAAAAAAATTCAACAAGTAAATTAGATTTCTGTCAGAGATAGAGAAAACGACTTGAAGACAGAAAAAATGACTAAATTAATAATAGTATATATGAAATTCAAACTACCATGCAGATATATATTATACCTGCACACAGGCATGGAAAGCGGTTCCTGGAATGTTGACAGGAAGAGAGATAAGACCATTCATGAACGCTTTGTAATTATCTAACAGCTTCTTTCCATCCTTCCTTTCTTCATAACTTATTAACCTCTTTGCAAATGATTCAAATATCATCTGCCAATGCCAAGAAGATACCATTAATTATTATCAACATCATGAACATTTTTACATAGTTATTTTCTACTAAGGACGTTTTGATATTAATTTTATCAGGACCTTGCTTTTACACCGTTTAATTTCATCTTAATGGCATGATACTAACAAATTATATTAAAACGTCCTAACTAGAGAATACTATATAATATGATCAATTAATCATGCATGACTTACTTCTTCAATTGCATCTTTGACATTAACACTGCCAAGGGTAGCCCATGAACGTAGATGTCTGCTAGTTGCTTCATCCATTGGACGGAGAAGCTTTCCTTTCAGACTTTCAGGGCCAACAAGATGTAGAATTAAGTTCTTCATGTATCTATGAAAGGTTCCATGCTGTGTGAGCATGTTTCCTTCTCCCAGAAATACATTAAAACTGTCAGTTAACCAAAATGAGAAATTTGTACTTTCTCTTTGGAGGATTGTGTAGTTTATCTCCGGATCAGTTGATACAATTATCTTCTGACCAAATAAACTTGTTCGGAACAACGGTCCATATCTGAAAGAAAGAACAAAAATAGATCATGAGTATTACTTTGTGCCCAACTCGAATGTTTCTGACAAATTTCAAAACAAACTGAATCCACATTACCTTGCAATTCTCCTTTTGAGAAATGGAGCAACATCATGCGTTTTGTAGGGAAATAAGAATTGGAGAGTTTCTCCGATAATTGGCAACCCCATTGAACCAGGAGGTAATTTGCCTTCGCACTTGGGGTTCGACCATTTACAGAAACAGTGACTAATCCTAATAACAATAAAAGCTACCAAGCAAAGACAAATTTCACTCCACATTTTTGCTCGCTCTGACTTGATTTCAATGATCAATAGAAAGGCACAATGTGGTTTGAGTTCTACTTATGATTAATGCCAGACAACAATGTGGTTTACATAGAGGCAATTGCTAACCGTATAAGATACTCTGTTCTTCTTATTTAATGAACATTCTTTGCTTTGTTTCCGTCATATCATTCATTAATTACTCTGGTCAACAGTCATAGAGAAGGACAAAGTAAATGTTAAAGAGGCAACATTGAAAATTCCTGTATGGAAAATGTTTTGGCACCCAAATGGGTCAATATTGGAGAGTTGTGCCGCCTCAAGGCTTTAGTAACTTGCCGGATCAAGCTACTTCGTTAGCCGCTTAAGGCGGCAACTTCAACTAAGACGCACAAGTCTTATTCATAATATGTTCAGATATTTATTCCCTTCTTCCGACGAAAATTATGTCATATTTTTAGGGTGCGTTTGGTTCGGGGTCATATAAGATTACGTGGATAATCTTTGTTTAATTTTCAAGTTTGGTTTGTATGTAATAAAATATTATGGGTATCTTTTATTGTAAATAGTGTATTGTTAGTAATATAGGGGGTAATCAGATTACCCCGGGGGTGTTATTAAAAGATTACCGAGGTAATCTGATCTGATTTTTATACCTATTTTACCCTTAATTAAATATCATTTTGGATACAATTACCCTCAAATGTCTACCAAATAACCTAATCCAAACCCCCTAAATTTGAGAATTTAGCTAAAACACCTCAACTACAAAAAAAATTTAACAGTTAACAAAATACCCCCAATCATCCAAGACCACCGTCGGTCGTCGGCCACCATTGCCAGCGGCAGTCGCCGTAATGGCACACAGCTAGCAGGATCTGGCCAGTCGTGCTCCGATAAGGCTATTTCACTTATCTAAGAGACCCCCTAAAATTATAATAACCTCATCTATTATCAATTTACGGATAATTTATTCAGAAAAGACAAAAGTTTGAAAATAAATTGAAAAGGAACAAAGCACGGTTTAAAACTGTAAATTTCCAACATTTAATCTATTGGGCTGAAATTAAATTCTCTATAACATATATGATCAATTCCTTAATTAATTGAAGGCTATTTTCCAATCTTTTTAACAAAAATAGATTAGTCCTTCAGTCAAAGGAAGTATATTCAGGACCTTATATAGCAGAAATCAATAATTTTGAACTCTTCTTTTAGCATTATTTTTATTTTCAGAGTGTTTCTTATTCAAAGATTCGTTACAAAAATTTATATATGTCTCATCTTGCTCGACGGCAAGCATTACATACATGGAGGTTACTCTTTGATATTTGAATTCAATAATTTATGAAGTCTACAACGTCATCAAAATAGAAAAATAGATTGTTATTTTGTATTGGTAGAAGAAGAAATTTCTGTGAAACGTACTGAATCTGTTGAAGAGAGAAAATTGGGGAAACATATGTGTATTTCATCATTCGACAAATACAATTTGTACACTGCTTTTATACTTGCAAACTAACTTAGTAAGCTACAAGCTACTAACTGCAATTAACTAACTCTAGTTAATAACTAACCAAACTTGTAACTAACTCTCTTAACAATAACAGCAACTAACTTTACATTTAAACAAACAAACTAAACTGTATAGTACTTAATAAATTAGCTATTGTTAACAACCCCTTCCCAATCCCACAACACCGCAACAACCCCCCCAACCCCAACACCCCCCCCCCCCCCCCCCCCCCCCCCCCCCCCCCCAAGTTGGAGGGTGGTAGAGGTCAACACACCCAACTTGCTTAACAATCTGGAATGCAGTGGACTAACAAGAACTTTAGTGAGCAAGTCTGCAGCTGTTCAGATGATGGAAATATCATGGTAATGACTCCGTTTGAACTATACTCTCACAATGTGGCAATCAATGTCGATGTGTTTAATCCTCTCATGGAAGATGAGATTCAATGTAATGTATTAGCACCGGTTGTCACAGTGAAGAGGAGAGGAAACAAATCAGTAAATCCAAGTTCTGAAAAGTTGAATCAACCAAAGCAGCTCACATATAGTGGAGGCCATAGCTCTATACTCTCCTCTGATGAAGATTTAGAGATAGTGGCCAGCTTTTTAGATTTCCATACAATTAAAGACTTTCCAAGAAAAATGCAGTACCCTGTAATTGACTTCTTGTCATGAGATAGGATCCCCAATCAGCTCACAAAATGCTGATAAATTCATAAGATTGTTAGCTGAAAAAATAGGCCTAACCAGAGCAGACTTGAGATATTTCACCACTTTAAGTGTTATCATATGTGATTGTTTGGGACATGCATAAACTGACTTAAGAGATTGACAAACACTTAAGTCTGGTCTGGTCAGGCATAAGTCAGCAACTTACCCTCTAACCTTTGATAAACACTCGGATCAGAAAGAAGAGGATCAGGACCAGCAGGAAAAGGTCATCATAAGCAACTGATGTAAGTTTCAAGGTAAAATCCATAGGAACTGCAAAAGGTTTAGAACAGACAAACCTAATTCAGATTTAAGCTCCAAAGCATACTTTCTTTGACATAAGTGAATACCCCTGGAAGATTTGGCTACCTCTAAACCCAAGAAATATTTCAAAACACCAAAATCTTTGAGATTAAAATGAGAATGCAATAGTGTTTGGTGGAGTTGATCATGTCAATGTTGTCCCCTGTGAGAAATGTCATCTACATAGACTAAAACCAGCAAAATAGAGAATCCATCCTCTAATGAACAAAGAATAATCAACTTTAGATTGAGTAATCGTCCAACAAGTAAGGCGAGTAAGCTTGTAATTCCAAGCTCTAGATGCATGTTTAGTCCATATAGAAACTTGTGTAACTGCAGACTATAAGTTGCCCCCCAAGTTGCCCCTTGCTTGCAAAACCTTGAGGCAAAGTCATATAAATCTCTTCTTGTAAATCCCCTTGAAAAATGCATTATCCTATCCATTTGGTAAAGTGGCCATTATGCATGGAAGCAAGTGATAAAATGGAACTAATGGTAACTATTTTAACAACTAGAAATTGTTTCCGCATAATCCACACTTCCTTTTGAGTGTATCCCTTTGCCACCAATATTGCCTTATATCTTTCCAAGGAACCATCAGCAATATATTTGAGTTTATAAACCCACTTACAACCAATTGGAGTCTTACCTTGGGGTGAAAAGACCAGGGACCAGGTTTTATTTAATTCCAAAGCTTGTATCTCCTTTTGCATGGCAGCTACCTAATTAGGGTCTTGAGAAGCTTTATTGAAAGAAAAGGGTTCTACTAGAGTGAGATGGGATAAGAAGGCTTGGTAGCTTGGTGAAATATGACTATAAGATACAAAATTAGAAATAGAATATGGGATGCAATTGGCTAAAGTTGAAGTGGAAGGAGAAATAGATGGACAAACAAAATCTGATGTTTAGATAGGGGGCCTTTTGATTCTACTGGATTTCCTAAGAGGAATAATAGGTTGAGGTGGAGAGGAATTAATATATAAAGAGGGAGGTCCTGTAGGTTATACATTCTGGACAACAGGCAATAAATCAACTGATAAAGGGACAGTAGGGGCTGTAGTTGTAGAAGGCAACTCAATATCCAAAAATTCAGGATCAAACGGAAAAGGTGATTATGGAGATGTAGACCAAGTAAAAGGAAATATGGTCTCATAAAAAAGAACATCTCTAGTGACAAAAACTTTATGAGAAGAAAGATTATAAAGAAAGTATCCCTTTTAAGTCAAAGAATAACCCAAAAAGACACAAGGGGTAGATCTAGGTGACAATTTGTCCTTAGGGATGAGAATGGTAGCATAAGCTAAACAACCAAAAACCTTGGTGTGATCCAATGAAGGAGGGTGACCAAAAAATCTTTCAAAAGATGATATACCTTTGAGAACTGATGAAGGAAACCTATTTATAAGGTAAACTGTTGTTTGCACACGATATCCCCACAAAAGGTTTGGTATATTGGACTGGAATTTCAAAGCCCTAGCTACTGCAATGATGTGTCTATGTTTCCTCTCAACAACTCCATTTTGTTGAGGGGGATAAGCACATGAGCTTTGATGGACAATGCATTTACTAAGAAACATATCTTGACATTATTCATTAAAAAATTCAAGGCCATTGTCACTTCTAATGCATTTCAAAGTACAATGGTATTGAGTTTCTATCATTTTAATAAAATGTTTAATGGTAATGAAATCTTCATATTTGTATTGCATGAGAAATGACCAAGTTACTCTTGAATAATCATCAACCAAAGTAAGGAAATACCTAGCATTTCCATGTGTTGGAATCTTATATGGACCCCAAACATCTACATGTAACAAATCAAAGATGCAAGTAGAAATTGAATTACTATCATTGAAGGGAACCCTAGTTTGCTTAGCTAGTGGACAAATAGTGCAGTGAGGAGCATTAGAAACATCAAAATCTTTATGCATATGTTGTAATATTGTATAAGGAACATGTCCTAACCGTTGGTGCGACAATTCGACACTATTAGAAACATTTGCAGCAAGAAAAGTACTAGGAAAATTAGACTCTTTATTCAACTGAAAATGACATGGTACATTATGATTTGAACAAAAAACCTTTTGAAATATTGCAAACAGCTTTATGCGAAGCATCTGCTGACATTATTGATTTTTGTGAAATTAGATCAAGGAAATATAGGCATTGCTTATTCTTACCAATCCCCTTCAATTTGCCACTGTAAAGGTCTTGGATTAGACAGAAATCAAGGTAAAAATTGATAATACAATTATTAGAAACTGTAAATTTGGAGACTAAAAGCAAATTGTGTCTAAAAGTTGGTATATGCAAAACTTTTGAGAGATGCATGCCATTGTCCAAAATTGCNGTGAGATGGGATAAGAAGGCTTGGTAGCTTGGTGAAATATGACTATAAGATACAAAATTAGAAATAAGATATGGGATGCAATTGGCTGAAGTTGAAGTTGAAGTTGAAGTTGAAGTGGAAGGAGAAATAGATCGAT